CCTTCCCAAAGAAGCCTATCACATTCCTCCAGATTGGAATTGGCTCTATTTGTTTATGTTCACATATATACCAACCCGTAGCAGTTGTTGGACTAGAGGTTTCTCTCTAACAGTGGAAGTGAGGTCCTCCTTGGGGAAAATGGATCAAGGAAAAGCATTTGTATCTTCCAATAATACCACCTTGGCTGCTTTATTTCATGGGTCATTCAGAGGGTAGTATCAGCACTGGTTATTTACATACTCAACAAAGTGTTGATTAGTGATCAACATAATAATGATTAAAAAAAGCAAGTGAGGCTACTACAGTAAGGTTTTGTAGCATAAAAGTGATACTGGACTCAGCTTCGAATATGACAAAGAAAAGTTCAGATTTATAATCAAGGAGACAGATGAGGATCAGAGGATGGAAAACTACTTAGCAGAAGAGTGATTCTTTGCTGAATTCTCTTAACAGGATTTTTGCTGAATGGAGGCCACCATGAGAAGCTAATAGGGTGATAAGATGTAGAGAAATGTTGTTAGAGTCTTTGCTAAAACTGGAATAATTGGGACAAGGACAGAACCCAGTGTCAGGCTCAGTCTGAAAGAGGACCCAGGGACCTCGACTAGAGTTGTGGTGAGAACAGCCTCTCTGTGAGAAGGACAGCAGAATTTATTTTGGAATCCCCAAGGGACAAGTGGTCTTTCCTCTCTGTCCCAGCTCTACCAGGCATTAAGCACCCCGGAGAAGGGCAGGTATTGACAAGGTTTGAGAGCATCCTGGAAAGATGCATTGCCAAAGTCTTGGCTCAGTGTTTGGTGGCACTGGTGCAATGAAAGCTTTCCAAGGTGAGGCCTCGTGGGGTATGTCAGACCATGGGAAGTGCTGCCCTCAGAAGAGGATCATGCCGGTCATCTTATGCTCAAGCATATCCTTGTTATCAAGCAAGAGTATCCGTCTATTTGGCTCCTTCCGCATGCAGCTATTTCCCAGCCAAGAGCCTTTCTCATATGCCAAACTAATAGGACAACTTCATCTTAGATTTTCAACCTGCAAACCTCTCAGCCAAATAGAACTCGTTTTTTTGTTAAGTCCTTGGTGTCAGAATTTGTGGGGGGGGCAGAACAAGACAGGCATGTATGAGAGTGAAGCATAGGGCACTAGGAGCTGCCATCTCACGTACAAAGCGGGCCATTGGCTGTGCTACTCACACCACAGGGAGGCCTCACCATAGTCCTGACCAGCACATTCTGTCAGATGCTGGAAACCACTGTTCAACCGGGCTTCGTGAGCATCGTCCAGGAAGGCAAATCAGACACCAGGGAATTAGTGTTTCCATTATCGAGTGACTTCTCATTTTTGCATAGCACAAAAGCCAATAGACTTTCAAAGACATGAAGAAGAGTAAAACACTCGTACCAATTAACTGACTCTCATTCTGACCTGCCAGGCCAGCACTGGTTAGTTTCCCCAAAGATTTAGCCACAGCTCACCTTCTTTTCATCAAATTTCAATGATATTCATTGTGTACACTTTAATGGCTACAGAAAGCAAAACATTGGCACTTGAGAGACCCTGAGGGAATGGAGAGGTGATGCGTGAATTAAACATAGAGTGAAATGGAGCAGATCTGGGGAATGCAGCTTCCGCCTTGGAGTAAGAGGGACGGGATTTGAAGAAATGGACAAACAACATTTATAGCATAGTTTGCTTATCATCTTCCATGTCTGTTTTCACAAACTTCCAAAACAAATTTTTTCTTACATATCTTTTCTGATTAATTAATTGGGTGTCTCTACACTGCTACCTCAAGGATTATCACAAGTAGAACTAATGAAGATGATCAAATAGTCCAATGTTGAGTTCAAAAGCAGCACTTTTACATGTAGTCAGTTTTCTTTTCTTTCTTCTTGATCTTGTGGATGAGGTTGAATACTGATGCTTCTCAATACTGTGTGGCATTTTTTCTACTTGAGATTGGATTAAAAGTAGAAGTGAGCATCAGTAGTTACCTGACAAGAACCACAGCTGGAAATATACTTTGGTGGGAAAGGAATTTTTCATCTATTCACCTGTCTTTTCTCCTACTTCCACTTAGAGTTAACATTGAACAGGATAGCAGGGGCATCTGCTAAAAACAAAGAAATCTTACACAACTCTGGTAGCTGCATAAGGGCACCAACAGCACAAGAAAGTCTTAAGGATAGAGTGGGCAAAGGAGATAGGAAAGTAAACTAAGTGAACTACAGGGTGCCAGAGAAAAAGCCACAGGCCAAGCACACATCACTTGTTTGTGTTTTCCTGAGCCCTGGTAAGCAAGGGCTAATCACCACTCATGGTTTTGCCTTAATGGACGAGAACGCTTGAAGTCATGTATTTGAAGTGCTTGTGGGACATCTTAGATGTAGAGTTCTTCTCCATCGTTCTCAAGTAGTCTGTGCCATTAGCTGTGGCATGGAGTGAGCCAGGAAAGGGAGCTGCCAGATCTTTGCCAGAAGTGAGTGAGTTTTGCAAGCCTTCCACTGCCCTGAGGTCGAGCTTCCATACATGTCATTCAGAGAGTACTGAGAAGAGGGCTGGAGGTAAGATATAAAATTTGGATATTTTTTCCAGTATCGGGAATGGAACTCAGGACCTTGTGTTTGTCAGGTAGGCATGATAGCACTGAGCTACATTCCTAGCCCAAATTTGCATTTTGAATTAGTAAATACAGTGGGAAATTTTTACAACTTCATATGCTTTTCCTTTATCTTCCTAATGATCTTTCAACTGTTACTCCTTCTACAGCCTCAAACTCTGAATACAGCTGTACCCTGGCAGATGTGTAATTGCAAGAGATGATACCAATCTCAGGATACAAAAAGAGGGAAGAGAAGTTACCTCCCTTTTGATTTTACTTTTCACTTCTTCCAAAAGACAGCTCTGTCACAATTACAGTGTCGTCAGTGGGGATTTTTCATTCTTTGTAGGAAATTTACCAGAAAATTGAAAGTTTAAACAGCTATGAGTTAAAAGGCAGAAATGTATGGCTTTTTTTAAACAACGTGGCCCTCAGAGCAGTAGAGATACTTACTATCATTAGTGACAATGCAAAAGGATTCTAAGTCACACAAAGCATGGATTTCTCTCCCATGGTCACTGCTTAGGAGACATGGGATTGGTCAAGTTATCTACTATTTCTAAGTTCAGTGTGTGCACACTTTAAATGGACAATATAACACACTATGGCATACTGGGTGGGATATGTTTGTAAATGCTCAGCTTGCTACCTGGCATGCTGAAACAGGAAAAACCATGTGCTGTTTGTTGATGGATATCAAAAGTCTCATCCTTGCACCACCCCTGGTGAACTACTCTAAAGAGAAGAAAGTATCTAAACAGTTATCACAAATTCATGCAAACATATTCTCGTGGCACCATGATCAGTGAAGGAATCATTAGTAAAGTACCAGCTGTAGCGGAAGTTTGTGTGAGGCAGTCACTTGTTTTCAGGAAGACAAGACTATAAACAAATGTGATTGAGTCCTAGGGTACGAGGTTTTAGATTCGGGCCCCTAACTCGCTCTAGGACTTGTGGGGACTCAGCTCTAGTATTTAACTTCACTTCTCAGCTGCCTCCGTGGAATTAAATTCAGGCTGCCGTTCCCACCAGCGTGTTCCCCTGTGGGATCTTGCCTGTTTGCATAAGCGGGAAGAAGTCTCAAAAACATTGAGCTACATCACTGTGCATAAAAGTCTGTTCCGTGGCTTCGAAAGGAAACATTCACAGGAATCATAATATGTGAGCGGCTGTTCGGATGAGCTCTCTTTAGCTCACTGTCATGTTGTGGAAGTGAATGTTTGCCGCCCGAGGGAGACAGGGTTGGAAAATAAGGCATGGCTCGTTGTAAAATTTGCAATGTGCATTCCAAATAGCTTTCCCCATGTAACACCTATTCACAGCTTGCACAGTGTTCCAGGCTTTCCCTTTACCCATCCACTGGAATCGATCCCAGTATGTGGTGTAGGTGAGCTCATAGATACATTTTTTTTTCTAGTTTCCCATAAATTCCTAATGTTGAAACTCACTCTGTTATTCTGAAAGAAACATTTTGCTTGACTTATGCAAAGAGTAATTATCTCCTTAATACTCGTCCTAGCTCTGTTCTAGATGCACTTACTATTCCCCAAGTTTGGTCCCCTTATCCACTCCCATACCGCGTTCTGCAACTTACTAAACAGAAAACATGGACACTACTCTACTGCTACTCTACTGCTTCTGGATCTGAATCACTCCTATCCTGTTCTGCTCTATTCTATCTACTGGGCCAGTATCCAGGGGCTTTCTGGCTCTGCTTCAACTTGCCTCTCCAGCATCATCTTCCCTGGTCCTTCCTGCCCTGCCTGTGATGCAGAATGTCCAGTTCCCTATCATTTCCCAGCAGTGCTATTTTACTGCCCCCACCAAGCTTTTGTACATTTGTGCCTTGAGATTAAAATGTTAACCAGGCCACACACCCTCTCCTCAGTTATCTTCTTCTGTGCGAGCATCACTTCCATGCGAAACCTCTTCTCGTCTAGTGATTTCTTTGGCCAGGCTCCTGTGCGGGTTGATGTCTATCTCTCTTTTAGCACATCCCACACTGTGACAAAGTTTATCTCTACGTATCTCCTTAAAGCTATCTCAGAGTTTGGCACATAGTCGCCTTGACATATGGACTTATTCAGTGAGTGAATGGAATTATTCTTGTATCTTTGGTTCCCTAGAAAATGCTGATGGTTCTAGCCCTTCCCTTCTTGAAGTCTCAGATGGCCCTCTTTACAGATATCAGTGTGACCCTTAAAGCTGAGACAGAAGACACTCTTCTGAGTGTATATGGGAAAAGCTGGTGTATTTTTTAGTTTTTTACCTTTAAGATTTTGCAGCTGCATGGTGGCATGATCCTGAAATTAAGGTCAGCTCCAGGTGGTTGTTTATATCAGCTGTCCGATTGCAGAATAAAAAATGGCTTTCATATGTTTGATTTTTATTGTTTTCCAGGGCAATGTCACTTTTTCCTGCTCCGAACCACAAATTGTTCCCATCACATTTGTCAACTCCAGCAGCAGTTATTTGCTGCTGCCCGGCACCCCCCAAATTGATGGGCTCTCAGTGAGCTTCCAGTTTCGAACATGGAACAAGGATGGTCTGCTTCTGTCCACAGAGCTGTCTGAAGGCTCGGGGACCCTGCTGCTGAGCCTGGAAGGTGGAATCCTGAGACTTGTGATTCAAAAAACAACAGAACGCACAGCTGAAATCCTCACAGGTACCGTCTGCTGCCTCCCTGTGGGATGGTTTCTTTTATCTTTTTTATTCTCCTTTAGGACAGTGTCTTGCTCAATCAAACAATCAAGGTTGAAATCCTAACCAAACAAACAAAGAGGCAGAAAAAAGCACTACATCTTCCAGGATGTAGGATGGTCTAGTATTGACAAATTTACCCTGAATCTAAAGAGCCAGCATTTTTTTGCCTAATTAAAAAATACCAACAATGAATTCGGAATTAGCTAGGTAAACTTCGTCAAGTCTTATGATGTCTTTGTCTCTCAGCAGCCTCATTAGAAAAGTGGGAATGATAATTCCCCTACAGGTGTATTTAGCATCTCATAGGCCAGCTAGAGAACACTCTGCTAGGTCCTACCTACAAGCAGCATGGATCACCTATAGTCTCCACCAGTCTCACCCAAGGAAGGATCTCTTTCCTGCTTCATAGATGAGACAATGCAGGGTTGTGTGAGTACCTTCTAAATCACTGGAGACAAGCGGCTGTAACTGATACTTCATTTGGAATCTTCCTGGCTTCCAAACCTATAGTTCCTCTGAAATCATATTATGACAGGGTCTGTTCATGCCCCCAATTCTATTTCAAGCATTAAGTGTGGTGAATTTTAAAAGCCTTTTTAAAATGTGTTTGGAGGGCAGGGACAAGGGGAAAAAATGAGAACCAAGACCTGTCATGTAGAGAGATGTACAAGATCCCAATGATAAATGTATTTGTACTGTATACCTAAAATGTACCAATAAACTCAATTAAAGCTGAAAAAAAAAAAAGAAGTAAATGCTAGGACTCATGGCACCTGAGTGAGCCCAACTGTTTTAAGTGGTCCCCAAGCGGCTGATGTTTCAGAAGTCTAACCTTTGCACTGGAGCTCAGATTTTAATGTGTAGGAAATAGAACAGATCGAGGAACTACCCAGCCTTTCGGCAGTCTGGGGTTTCCCGGCGGGCTGTGTTCAGTGTGGAATGAGTGAGGTCTTCTCCCTCTTTCTCCGTCGCGTGTCTTCCCAGTTCCTCTCGTCCTTCAGACAGCAGTGGGGCTGCTTAACAGACAAGTGTTCATGTGATCGGACCACCTGCCAGGGGCTGGGCAAGAATCAGAGGCAGAAGTCCTCTGAGAGATCTCTGAGAATACAGTGCGGACAAGATCCGCCTCTGCTGTGCACGCAGGGCCCGCAACCCTCACACGTTACACAGGACATTTTTCTTGGATTTTTAAGGTCTTCCTTCCCCTGTGGGACTATTAGTTTTATTATATGAATACATAAAAGAAGGTTAAATTAAATGTTAAAGGAAACAACTTGACAGGTGAGGTCTGGCCAGGCTGTGAGATAGCGTCAAATGCCAACAGGGGAATGAAAAGGCCTGAGCGTATCTCTGGTTTGTGTTCTGTGGCCCTGGGTAAATTTAACTTTCCCTCCATGGCAACTGGAGCATATTAGTTAGCTGCAGTTGTAAAACACCAAAATTTAGTGGTTAAAAGCAATATTTATTCTGTCTCAACTTCTGTGGGTCCAGAGGCAACTTGGTTGTGGCTCAAGGTTTCATAAGATTGCAATCAAACTATTGACCAGGTTGCAGTTACCAGAAGGGGGTGACTTTAGTGGGGGAAGTTCTGCTTCTGAGCCAAGCTGTGTGGCTGTTGACAGGAGTCACAGTTTCCACCTCTAAGTTAATCCTCGTTGGCCTCCTAGCAGACTGCCAAGACAGAGTGGAAATTAGCACACAAGAGCTGTAGTCTTCTTGTAAGCTACAACTGAAAAGGTGATAGCACCTCTGCCATATTGGTTCACTAGATGCAAAGAAATAAGTCCAGCCCATGTGGGAGTTGAAGGGTAACACAAGGATATGAATACAGGCACATGAATCATTGAGGGTGAGCTTAGAGATTGCCTATTGCAAGAGAGACAGAGAGCTAGAGATGGAAAGAAATAGGAAGAAAGAGAGAGAGAGATGCTTCACAGGACTGCAGTGCTCACTGAATAAGATAATGTATCTCAAATACTTAGCAGAGTGTTGACAAACTATTTAAAAATATCATTTTGGGAAAGGACCTACAGCTACAAGGGGCCTCATTCCACAGAGCCAAAAAAGCTAAGAATGAATTTGTATGGTCAGAAGAGTTCTATTAAATGTATTAGATTTCCAGGAATGGAAGTGAGGTAATCACTGAGAATTATAATATTTTTCATGCTACCAGTCATGAAAGTTAAACCTCAGTCCTTCTTATTTAGAGAAGAAAAATATGAGCTGGCACTGGGCTGTTTCTCTCTAATCGGTGAAATGTTTGAGTACAGAGACTTGCAGGCCTCCGGTCAAAAATGCAGTTTTAATGTAGTACAGGCCCTGGTGGGGAGTTCGTCTGAAGAATCCAGGTTCTGGCTGTATTATTAAGCACACGTCAGTCCATTAAATTCCATTTATAACAGAAAGAGAGGCTGCTAAAGGCTGCCACTTTGCCAGCTGCAAAGCGGGGTAAATCATCAGTTATTTGAGACCTGTCAAATATCGAAACAAGTAAAGGGAAGTTTTAAAAAGGTGCAGCCCCAAGGACCTGAAGTATGTCTCAGAAAACACTTACATAATTTTTGCCCCAGGGAAACTTTCCCGCATTTTAAAAAATTTGAGTTTCTTAATTTGTACTTCAAATGGATCAAGATTTTGTGTTTTCTGGCATCTTCCTCTACCTGAAAACATGGAAACAACAGCAGCAACACTTTACTCTTCTCTTGCAATTTTAAAGAAGCTTGTTTTGAGATTATTTGAGATCTCACAGGCTTTTTGAAAGGTGAAAATCCAATATAAAAAATGACGACAGTTATCTGAATAATTGGTGAAGACCAGGGAGGCTCCCCTTGCTGTGTGCTGTGTCGTACGAAACCAGATACACCAGCGCTGATAGCCCAGAGAATTCAGATATTCAAAGAATGATCTTTAACTAGCTCAGGTGTTTGGAGTATCCTGCCTCTGAAAGCAAAGTCACTTCCTGTGGGTAGAACAGCACAAAGGTGCCCGGAGTCCTCCCACTATGCAAGGATTTTGGGAGGTGGTTTTCTGCATTAGGGCTGAAGAGACTTGCAAAATATATATGCATCCTCAAAATACAAAGTGACTGAACTGAGCTGTTCCGGGGGATGCAGTTTTAAGAAAATGAAGGACAATGGTGAATGGTGTCATCTTTCATTTGTGAATTTGTTTGTTTTCTAATTTTATCTTCTTTTTGTAAAGCCGTATACACCTGAGTGTGAGGAAAAGCTAGGGACTGCCGCTGATATGACAGTGAAATCAGTCCCAGGGCAGATCTTCTGCTGGTCAGGACCCGCACTAGATCCTTGTCTGCACTACCGGAGGAGAAAGCAATCTCATGAAACCGAAGACATGGGATTGCCAGCTCACATGGAAGGAGACTCACATGCTCTTCACACTGCATCCTGTAGCCGTCCAATTTTGCTGATTCTATTACCAGTTCCTTTTTTTAAATTCTTTTTATTGAGTTTATTGGTACAATCTAGGTATATAATACAGATACACTCATTATTGGGATCTTGTACCTTTACATGACAGGTCTTGATTCTCATTTTTCCCCTTGTCTCTGCCCTCGCTTCACCCCCTCTTTCTCTCCCCATTTACAAACACTTTATTTCCATTTTTTCAAGTTCTCATATCTTTTTCTCTACCTTATTACCTTTCCCCCACCCTTCCCACTTTCCTTACACCTTTAGCCCTTTACTTCCTATTTCACATTATTAATTATCTCATTAGGATCCTGTGTACTATTATAGCTTTTCACACAAGAAAATCTATTCTGTATTTCAGTTAAAGAAATCTCTGTATGAGCATTAAAAATGGGGAATCCTAACATAAAACTAAAAAGCAAAGTAAAAGAAGAAAGGCAATGATGTAAGATTAAAATAATCCTTAATTCTGAAGATGAAAATGATCCCCGAACATATTTAAATTGCTTCTTGCTCTTGTAGTCTTATCTTATTCTTTTTTTTCATTACTTAAGAGAATACTTTATGTTTCTGTAATCAAACCCATGTGGATATGACCTTACATATTTAATACAGTGCATTACCCCTGTACAAATGGAAAAAAATTAACATTTCTAAACCAATATGGCTGTCAATTTCTGTAAATATCAACTCAACACAGAAAATTGGGATAACTTTTCCCAAAGTTTTCAGCACAGTTTCCAAAAATTCAAATCATATATATATATTTTTTTATATATATATCGATAATAGCAGTATGTTATGCATCCATAGCAGCAACAGCTTTTCCAGGTTCTGCAGTCATCTGAACAAAATTATAGACATTCAGCATATTCCATTAAAAAAAAAAACAAAGAAAGGAATAATACCCAGAAAACATCAAAGTTCTGTTGCTATTTTGGTACTTGGCACCATTTTTTTTATTATTAGCATCTTAATCATCATCTGGAAAGAGAACATTCTAGAATAATATGATTAAAAATAGCTCTGATAAAGCATGGTCCCTACTACATATCACAAAGCAGGTACAAGATATTTTACATTCACAGAGGTATGATACAGTACTGTCCTACATCAGTAATACTAGAATCAGTTTTGATTTGAAATTTACTTTGTCTGCAAATAAGATTGATACCCCTGCTTTTTTCTGGTCTCCTGTCACATGGAGAATTGTTTTCCATCCTTTTACTTTCAGTCTATGGGCTTCTTTTTCCACTAGGTGTGTTTCTTGTTTACAACATATTGTTGGGTTTTGCTTCTTTTTCCATTTTGCCAGTCTATTTCTCTTGATTGGTGAGTTGAGGCCATTCACATTGATGGTTATAACTGATACGTACTGACTTATTATTGTCATGTATTGGCCTTTTGTTGACTCTTTTTACTTTTTCAGCTTCTCCTTCTACTTTCTTGCCTTGCCTATTTGATTTGCTCTGTTGGACCTCATGGTGTTGTTGCCTTCATTGTCTTTTTCTAGGATATTGTTTAGAATTGCTTG